TTTTCTTGTTCTTTGTAGAATCTCTGGTACCTCGCACGGTGCCTGACACGTAGAAGATGACCAAGAAATGACTATTGAAGGAGGCAATGTGATTATAACTTAATGATGGGCTTCTGACCAATTGTTTTATGACCTTGTCGAAGAAAAACAGTGCTAATCAGAAGGTGAAAGTTAACTTAAGATGAATCACTGACCGATTCCTGGTAAGGTGCTGAATATCTGTATTCAAACAAACCTTTGGCAGGAGGGAAGACAAATCAAACAGGCACATGTAGAGCTGCTCGTGCTAAAGAAGGCTGGAGGGCGGGGATCCTTGCCTGCCTGCCGGAGCAGATTGGTTCAGTCCCTCCATGCCACCTGGGAACCCCAGGAGGCTTGCCAGCAACCTGGACTCCTAGGCCTCACTGTGGACACCCCAAAAAAGGATCTCTGGGGATGGGGCTCCTAACTCTAATTGAGACAAGCTCCCCAAGCAGTAATGGCATTTGGGGTCCACCGAACTGGAGCATGGCAAAAGAAAGTAAAAAAAAAAAAAAAATAAAAAAAGTTCTTATTTCTCTTATTGCCCAGGAGAGGGAGACACCAAATAGGGTGGACGTGAATATTTCAGTAAGCAGAGACGAACGTCAGGTGTCACCTCAGCCCTCACCTGGACCAGAAGAAACACCCTTCACCTTCGTCCACTTCCCTTTGCTGCAGCTCCCTGCTCCCCAAGCCGCTTTCCAATCACTGGTTTGGCTAGGAGATCACTGCCCGGGGAAGAGTGCATTGCTCATAAATCAGACTTCAATCTCCTACTAGTTTACTGAGTGCTCATCTGTTTCCTCTACTTTGACCAAATCAAGGTATGGACACAGGCTTAGTTCTAAGTAATGACACCCCCTGAGGCTTCTTGTTGGTTGGCCGTGAGGCCTTCTCCCGGCAACACCTCATTTCGCCATCACGCACCTTACAGAGCAGTTACCAGGATGTGGCGACATCCTCCGCCTCCCAGCCCTCCCCTCCACTTCCTTCTAATCGCAGCAAAGGCTTTCCATAACTGAGGGGTTTGCACTGCTGGTGTTTTAAATTTGAGGTTATACCAACGACCCGCCATCACCATCATCATAATAAAAACAGTTCACAATAACAACTAGAGAAAACGCTTACATTTCCATTTTCCTTCAGGCTCTTCGTTCAGATTGTCCCTCAAGCAAATGTATAGAAAACCACACATCCTGCTCCTTCCCAAAGGGGCTCCTCCTGCACTCTTATCTATTTCTGGGATGGTTCTGTTACCACTCACAAAATCTGAGAGGTGCTTCAACAATCAGAAAGTAAACTGGTGACTTCACAGCTCATCAAGTCTTTCGAAAAATCTTTTCTTTTTTATTTATCGTCTCTTAACTGGATATTCTTTAGTAACCTCCTAACTAGCCTTCCTGAAACTTCCTGCCAAATTAGTCTTCCTAAAACATTTTACTTTTCATCCCCTTAAAATCTGGAACTGGCTCAACTACATATAAACTGAAGTCCCGACTCAGCTGGCATTGGCAGCCTGTCACCGCTGGGCCGCATGTCACTTTGTGTTCTGGGTCCTCTGTTTGCATCTATCAGCCTCTCAGCATCTCCCACCCACGCCCTCCCCCCTTTCTCGGGACTTCCCAAATCTCCTAAGTTGATATAAAATCCTGCTCTCTCCAGGAAAACCACCCAGGTCTCCAGCGAGGGATTCCACTCCTTGCTTCCACACTTAGTCTACACCATCTGTAAAGAAAATAACCTTTGTTCCTGCATACACAGTTATTTGATTTTTTCATTGGAGACACTCTTTCAGCCACAGCTAAATTGTAAACTTTGGCAGAAATCTGTAGTTTTCCATAAGTACCTTTAAAGAGGCATTTCCTAGACAGAGAGGTAGAGACCATCACAGTCTTGCTGTTGACTGAGTGCCCGCCACGAGCCAGACCCATTGCGCCCACTGCTGCCTCCTGCCACGCCAGTCTTCCACTTTCCAGAGGAAGAAATGGAGCCTCAAAAACATCATTGTGTTTAAGACACACAGCTGGAGAAAAAGGGCCAATTTATGGGCTCAG